TTCTTGATTATATTTTGGATTTTTTTCTTCTTCTTCAAAAAAAAATCCGCTCACTTGGTTTCACAAGATTTTTTTCACCTAACATCGGCTGCTTTATGTACCAAATGGGGAATAGTTGGAGCTATATTTTAATTCACCTGCAAGATTTGGAGATTCATAGTTCACAAAATTTGAACTTTTGGACATTTCAACAAATGGTGGAGTGGACTAATGGAAGCAACAAGCAGAAATGAAGGACATCAGCACCAAGCTCTTACTGTGAACTGGCAAGTTTGGAAAGCCAGGAATGAGAAAATTTTTAACAACAGATGCCGTCATCCTTTTGACATAGTACAGAAAGCTCATCTAGAATGGATAGAGTACACAGAAGTGCAAAGTAGAGATAAACGAGTGAGCAGTCAGGAAACAACAGCAAGAGCTGAAGAGGGGCCGTATGACATTGCAGACAGCAACATGATGATAATTGTACTGGAGGTGAGCCAGCAAAAGGAAGAGAAACCTTTAGGCATTGGCATAGTGGCTAAACAAGACAACAACGTGCATGCTGCATGGGCCATAAAGGACAGAAGCACAGGAGACAAATTACTGGATTATGCTGCTGCACTCAAATTAACACTGTGCAAAATTAGAGAAAAGCCTTGGCCAGATGTTAAGCTGTTAGTTTCATCTACTCAGTTGCTGCGAGTGTTGAGAACGAACAAGACACCAGATATCAGACTTTTTGCTCAACTGGAGGATATTCACATGCTTAAAGCTTTGTTTATGAACTGCTCATTTAGCTTGGTAGGCAACTAGTGTAATCAACTAGGCAGAAGAATTAGCAAGTATGCTACTCCATTAGTGCAAGATGAGGAATATCTAAGTCTTTAATGTCAAATGATACTATTGTAAAGCTCCTTATGAGTCGTTGCTCAAGTTTATATAGCTTAGTTTGAAATCAATATATTTTCTAATGTTTCCGTAAAAAAAAAAAAAGACATGTCGCCAGCTTTAATGTAGTTAGTCCTATTTGAACCAATCCACTTTGCACTTCTGAACTTGTAACAGTTTTTTTTACACCTTAAATTTTGATTTTTGACCATTTACATTTTAAACTCTCAATTTTGGATATCTTGAATCCTAAACATTCAAGTTTGTCCCATTTAAATCCAATTAATAACAATATTAGTAAAAGTAACGGAATATAGGACTATACAAAGTAATGACAATACATTGAAAGTGGTCAAAAGAACCAAGGGACGGCAACTAGAACACCAATTTTTTTTTGGTATCTGGTCCAAGTTGTCCCATTTATAACAAATATTGTAAGCAAGATTAACAAGATAAAAAATAGTGCATATTAATAATGATATATCATTTTGTTCTTTTTGCTATCTCTTTACTCCTTTTGACTACTCTTAGCATGTGGTCATTGATTTGTGTGATCCTTTACACCATTAATTTTGCTAACATTGTTATTGATTCAATTTAATTTAAATAAGATAAATTTGAGAGTTTAGGAGGTAAAGTGTCTAAGTTGAAAATTATAGTTATAACTAGAGGGGAGTGCTCGCGCATCGCGCGAGTGTTTGGTGCCTGTAGTTAAAGAAGTGTTTTCGTTGAACTAAAAATAGTACATTATGCGACATAATTAGAGGTAGATACGATTACGAGACAAACAACATAAGAGCCATCCAATATTAGAATCAACAAGTTCCCAAAGACAAATAAGTAGATGCAGCAAATTCCAAAAAATGTACAGACAAATAGGTTTCCCATGATCCAGATAGATAATAGAGTAGTTCAAAAGGACATTATGTATATCCACTTATTTAGTGATAGTAATAGTAGTAAAATCTTTTAGATGCTGTAATAGGCAGCATTCAGATACGTTGCTTGTTAGTGGTTTCTTCATTTTGTTTTACAGGGGTTGTACCACTGGTTCCTTCACTGGACTTTGTAGATGGTGAGGGTGCCAAAGTGGTTGAACTATCTCTTTTCTTTGTCTCCACTGCTTGTATTGCAACATCCATTTGTGTTCCTTTAGAGTTGAGGTCTGGGTTGTCGACTACTTCAGTTGCGCTTATTACATTTTCGGTATTTTAGGATGCAGATGTTGTTCCGTAGTGACAAATATTAGAAAGCCACACAAATGACTTGATACCCAGAAAGCTAACCTTATTCCAGAAACCTCACCGAGAACTTTTTCTTGCTGTTATCCCGAACCTATAACATTATAAGCAAACCAGTCAAATTACAGAGGCCTTCTAAATTTGTGAAAAAATCTGTATGTTGCAGCTAAATTACAAGGGCCAAGTGTCAAATTTTAGGAATTAAGCACACATCGACGCCACACACGGTCCAAACCACCCACATAAATGACAAAATTGTGGAAAAAATCTTACCTCAAGTTGAACCACCAGAAGTAGTTGCGGCTAAAGAACATTATGAGATGCTCGGTAGAAAGGCATAAAAAATAGCCCACATCTCAGAATATTAAAAGGGTGAAACTGAAGAAAACGAAAGATGAGGTATTGAAATAAGCATAATCAATGCGCAGCCGTTTAGGCATTAACTTACAAACGCTTGGCTATTTAATTGAGGCTATAATGTCAAAGAAATGGGGTCTTTCGGACATAAGCTCGGATGAGAGGAGAAAGGAAGAGGCATGGAAAATCCCAATCCCTAAAGCTGAAAGGGGGGAAACAGACCCAATCCCAAAGGCCAGACATGGAGTCATTAATAAATCCATGTTTATGGCCGTTAAATTCAGGCATAAATGACAGCAAAATAGTGGAGTTCACACCTGAGAGAGAATGAAAAGGCAAGTTGGAAATCAGAACGATAAAGCTAACAATATCATGAGACAACATCCAAAGAATACAAAAAATAATACCCAGAAGCAAGCATGAAGCTATCCAGAAGGTTCATGAAGCATTAGGCAACAGTGGCCAAGAACATCGGGGAAAAGGCTGTTCAAGTTACAGACACAAACAGTTGTCTGTGAGAGCAACCAAGACTCATTTTAGGCAATTTCAGCCAAAGCGCGAGTCCCAAACGGCTGTCTGTGGCTCAAGAGCTGAACGTGTGTTGTGTAAAGGCCATTTCAGTAATTACACAAACCCACATGCTTATATGAGTTGTATCAAAAGCAACAAATGGTTCCAGATTAATTGCACATACCATAAATACCCAAACATGCAACCACATTTAAAGTTTTAAATGTCTATAAAGGAGGCCATTTCAGTTAATATACCCAATCACAGGCTTTCCTGACTTGTACCTTCAACTTGCAAAACACTTTATAATATAAGGAATTCCCAAAAAGTCCCTACTTATGCGGTTGAAATTCAACCTCCTCTTTGACCAAAATTCAATCTTATATAGTATAAGGATATAAACTGAAAGAGTTTTTCTAACGGGTATCTATTGGGCACCCGTTAAACTGAAAGGGTTTTTCTAACGTTCCTTATTCCTAGTTTGGTCTACAAAAAGTCAGAAAGTTATACAGACTATTTAAGTTTCATTTTTTTTCGATATTTTTAGCACCGAAGCCAATAACTCTCATATATCCTCGGATTAAGCACGAACTATCACTTCTGTCCTTTTAAGAGCAAGTCCATTGAAGTCTAATTACAGCAATTCTTAATTCAGGCTCCAGATTATGTGTTACTAATCCCATGGATATATTGATTGCATTGACATTCATACGTACTTACAACCTATATTTTGAAACAGAAAAAAAAAACTGTAAAGCTAGCGAAATATTTGGTGATGTGTGGAGAAAATCACATCTACTACAATTCATGTGACTCATTTTACAGTTTACACTTCCAGAACATAGCTCTTTTTTTGTTTTTTTGTTTTTGTTTTTTGATAGATTAACTCTAATTCTCATTTCCAAATTCCTGTAGTACACAAGTTGGATGCAGGAAAGAACAATATTACCATCCCACTCAATATTAATTGCTACCTCTCTTGCAAATTGACTTAAAACACTGTGTAACCTCATTTGCACCACCTTTTGAAGTTTACACTCAGGAGTTTATTTAAGAAGCATTTTGGCATCTTCCATCGGATTCCCGATATCAGATTCATCAGCTACCGACTCCTGTAATGCCTTATTGCAGCTTCTTATTTGCGTAGTATAGGACGTTTATCAATTTCAAAAGAATACTTCCTGAGTAGATTTTCATATCATTATATACTTTGATTTACATCTTTCTGTATCTTATTGGACGTTTATATTTTTTTCATCATTCATATTTCTATAGCCCTGTTCAGTTGAAAATTTGGATAAAATTTTGTCAGCAAATGCCTCGAGCAGAAGGTCGTCTGTCAAATTTCAAAGAGCAGACCCAAGTTAGTCTCTGCATTTTTCTAATGCTGTTAGGAAAATTAGGAAGGCCATGCAAAATGTGAAGTTGACATTCTAGTCAAAGGACAAGATCAGTAAGTAAGACCCCATCAAGAAAATACTCATGAACAAAATTAAACTAATGGTCACAGATTTTCTTCTGTTTTGGGGGGAGAAGGGTGGTCAGAGAAGGGGTAGCATTCTTCTCTAAAAGGGTCATCAAAAGTTAGGCATCCAAAGAAAAAAATTCTCAAAATTGTGGTTTCATTCCAGCAAACGAGCAGCAAAAGATTATCCCTACGACTTGTTACATGAATAGGGCTAAAACAAAAAAAGGTGCTGTTTCCACTGTTTTCTTAGTCCTTTCCGGAGTTGCATCAGCTAAAAAACAAGCCTGAGCACTTAAATTATGAGAACTCAAATCAAATTGATCCAATCACAAATGATCACGCAACCAACTCAAAATTTACAACTATTTCTAAGCTTTTATTAGGGATTACGGTGTGATCCTAGTGTTATGGATTTACCAATGATTAAATCAATTAATGACCGCTAAAGTTAGAAGGGAGATATTGAGCTATATAAAGGATTGTGAGGTTTCCCCATTGAGAGCATAAGGAAAGAACCCCTACATTGTAAGGCAAATATGGGGCAAGGGTCCGAAATGGCCTCTCTCTTTACCACTCTTCTAGTGGCACTAGTGTCCCTTAACTTGCCAGCCCAAACCTACTGTGCCTGTGGAAAAGAAGGAAAAACCACAGCAAACGAGGATTGCTTACCTTCTCCACTACCTTCTCCTCCACATCATTACAAGTCTTCACCACCGAAACCTTATTTGTACAAGTCTCCTCCACCACCACCTCTTGTTCACGAGTATCCTCCTCCACCTAAGAGTCCGTACAAGTCTCCACCACCGAAACCTTATTTGTACAAGTCTCCTCCACCACCACCTCCTGTTCACAAGTATCCTCCCCCACCTAAGAGTCCATACAAGTCTTCTCCACCGAAACCTTACTTGTACAAGTCTCCTCCACCACCAGCACATGTTCACAAGTCTCCATCTCCGCCCAAGAGTCCGTACAAGTCTCCACCACCGAAACCTTATTTATACAAGTCTCCTCCACCACCACCTTCTGTTCACAAGTCTCCACCTCCACCCAAGAGTCCACGCAAGTCTCCGCCACCGAAACCTTACTTGTACAAGTCTCCTCCACCACCACCCCCTGTTCATAAGTCTCCAGCTCCACCCAAGAGTCCACACAAGTCTCCGCCACCGAAACCTTACTTGTACAAGTCTCCGCCACCACCACCTCCTATTCACAAATCTCCATCTCCACCTAAGAGTCCGTACAAGTCTCCACCACCAAAACCTTATTTATACAAGTCTCCTCCACCACCACCCCCTGTTCATAAGTCTCCAGCTCCACCCAAGAGTCCACACAACTCTCCGCCACCGAAACCTTATTTACACAAGTCTCCTCCACCACCACCTCCTGTTCACAAATCCCCACCTTCACCTAAGAGTCCATACAAGCACAATTCTCCACCACCACCTTCACCTAACAGACCCTACAAAAACAAGTCTCCTCCATCACCACCACATAATATACCCTACAAGTGCATTTCACCCCCACCACCAGTGTACAAATCACCACCATCACCGCCTCCCATCTACGAGTCTCCACCACCACCACCACCGAAGAGTACCTATGTTTACAAGTCCCCACCACCACCACCACCAATGAAACCCTACAAGTACACCTCCCCACCACCACCAAAGAGTCCCTACACGTACACTTCTCCCCCTCCTCCTCATCACTACTGATCGATATCCCATTAAGGTGTTATAAAAGGTGAACCGACTAGACAAAAATCCCACATTACATTTCTCTTAAACTTCTTTCATTGCCGAGGACAAATCAGAATGGGTTTTCTTCTTCATTAGGCTATATTTTGCCAATTAAGCTTTACACCAAGAAAAAAAAAAGGCATTAACTATTAACATCTAGTTATTTTTCTTGCTACAGTATGTCTCATGCATGCATTGAGAATACTTCCTGTATCTTTGCAGGTAAGGATTTGTTGAAAAATAAAACAAGTATGGGCTAACTGCAATGTCCACGCAAAGATAATGAAAGCAACAAAACATGAGAAACGACAATGAACACAAAGGGACATGTTAAATTCTCACTATAGATCTTCATGTTTTGAGATAACAGAAGTTTGTGACTGCGTGAAAGAGGCCCATGTTAGTATGTGGCTAATTAGTACGTGTAACAGAGCAATCTTAGTAGGTGTTAAAGTTTTTATGTTGTGTGTCTTATGGTTCTTGATCTCTTGCAAATGCTGGGATTATCGATTGGCACCTAATGAAATATCAAAAAGTCTCTCTAAATCATGTTCCTCGTTGCTACAGTGATTATTTTGGCAACGATTTGCTTGATCTGCATGCTCTTGCCGCTGCATGCATGAACGTCGACGACAAAAGCTACGCTTATATAATCACAATAATTGGGAAATACATTAATACCTTACCACCTATTTGTACATACATCAAATTTTACGTCACTTTGGACAACGTAATTAGAAATCATGAAAAGTTCAACCAACTTGTTCATTGTTCTTATGCTGCGTTTGTATGGTAACGTTGGAGATGAAATGAAACAAGGACGATATTGTTACCATGAAAATAGAATTTGCGCTTCACTTGGAAAAAAAAATGCATATATTTCTGCCGCATAAAAGGGTTGTGAACTCTCCAACCTGTAATGGTAGCCTAATAATATCATTAAGTCCCCTCCCCCCCCCTCCCAAAACAAAAAAATAAAAAGAGAAAAGAAAAGAATACCATTAATTTCTTGATAAGTTTCAATTACTTTTTCCTTTCAATGATGGCTGAGTAATTCAAGAACTCTAATGATCCATGACTACAATGTTAGAAAGAATAAATGGCCACTTACAATCTGAAAATCTTACAGATTGCTGGTTTGCACCTCGAACATCTACATTATAATCAATTTGCAGTAGAACTTTTTTTTCCTACGTAATTAATGTGCAGCCAGCATCAATTAACAATGCCATCATCACACCAGCAACCAAAAACAAGTCATACACGTTATTTACAAGTTCTTCTTGGACAAATTTTATTCAATTTTCTTAATCAACTGATAGCTAATTCCAATTGGTGACTTGATCTATATACCTAGCTCTATATCGTTCACAAAATTTGACTACAGTTGACATTATTGGAAAGTTCATGTATGTAAATTGGCAACCAAATCGAAGTTGCAAATCAAAGTATGGAGAGAAATTAAGCTGGTTGCAGATTTCGAGGATGTAAATAATGGTGTTCACCCTATAAAATTTTGAATGACACCTCTCTATGTTTAGGTACGTTTCTGAAAATTGTGACTCGTACACTCCATTATTGAATGGATCCTTTTGATTAGAAATTATAAACATATAAGATTTCACCAAACAATGTAACGGTAGAATGCATTTACCAGCTATAACCTATCTATTATTCTCCGTGGTCCCTGCCATTATTTTCAGCAATAACTAAAAGAAATGCTTTCTTTTCTTCCAAATTTTTTAAGCCCATTAACGTCAAAGGACTAACTTGTAGTAGCTACCAGTAGAGGCCACTGACCACAGTGTACAACAATGCACTTACAGGCCCAAAAGATCTAGGATTGCTTCTACGTATGATGAAACAGCCTTGAAGGAAATTGTTTTCCTTTCACTGCTGATAAAAATTGAAGAAATAAATATCACTTTGTACTTCTAATATTTCTATCAGTTTTACTCCGTAGTTCTAAATTTTATGTTCAATTCTTGCGACAAATATCATAAATCATAGGAAAATTGTTTTGAATGTTCTTGAAGGTGGTTAGAAGCCATGCGCGTAGACTCTTTCTTTTTTTATCTTGGTTTCTCTTTATCACGAATACTAATATCATCATTTTTCACTGATAAGAATGAGGAACATGGTGGTGCCCATAAGCATATCTTTCGTCTGCTTCTCTAACAATGTTTCTAGTTTGCGATGAATTAGTAAATGTACGATTAATTGGTACATTTGGAATATAAAGCATTTAAATGAATGTTTTACTTGAAAGTACGAATATGCCCTATTTGATAATTTAATTCAGTTAAATTTTAATTAATTAGGTGGTACTAAATTTTCATAATAATTAGCCAATATATTGGTTATGCAAAATGAATTAGTCATAATTAAAGGTATGTCAGTGCTGAAAAATTATTCTATTTCTTTTGTAAAGGTAAAAGTAATTACAAAAATTCTTCTCACCAGTCAATATATAACATTAATATCGTGGTGTGCTCATACAACTTTTGACAACTTTTGAGAGGCATTAGATTTCAATATGCTCCCAATATCAAAAAGTGGGGTTGATTTTTTTTTTTTTTTTTTGCTCATTTTGATTAGGATTTTATGCATTGAATCAAGCAATGATCCACTTACACTTAAAAGAGGCAAAAACTGTCTAATAAACGGAATAAACAACTAAAGTGAACACTGCAAGGAACACTTAGTAGGGTTGCTTTTAGAACTTCACCAAAATTTTGGTGCTTGTACATTTCAAAAGAAAAGAAAAAAGAAGAAGAAATTAAAATCGTTCAACCTTTAGCATTAAAGATGTAAGTGACCAGATCATGACTTTAGAATGATCCATCTGAACATGCAAGCAGTCGTCCATGACTAAAATCAGTTGATCTTTCAAAGCCTCATTTTCATGTCATTCCCAAAATCAACTAAAGCTAGCACCAGTATGACTTAATTGATAAACTGGGATCCACTACAGATATCAAAGTCTGGAATCATTATTAAAAAGTGGGCCAAAAAAGAAATTTTTTCTAGCATTAGATTGTTCGAAAGTTAATACTAGCACGCCAATGTCTATTCGTCTATTTGGATGACTCAACAAAGTCTCTGTGAAAACCGGTCCAATATGAATATTCTGTGCCTAATTCGATAAAAGAGAGGTTCCTCTTCATATTATTTTGAAGGAAAAAATGACTTTTGATGCTCAAGAGTTTTCAAATTTTGCCACTACATCAAGTTGACTAGTACCTACCCAAGTAGTTGTCGGAATGTGATTTTTGTTAAAAAGCTTAAGAAAAGGATTACTACATTATCCCTCCAAAATTCAACCCTAATTTATTTATTAATCATATTTTTCTTTTCCTAGTTTCAAACCTAATTATAGACCAATCTTATGTTATTTTGTTTAAATCTTTCTAGATTAATTTTTTTAGATGTTAGTGAAATCGTGTTTTGGTGAGCAAAATGTCACTAATTATGAGTGTATTTGCATTAAAGTGCATGGTAATTAAGCAAAATGGGCACTAAGCCAATACATTATACAACTGAAATATAAAGAAAAAATTGTACAACTGAAGTAGTAGCATTTTTCTCACAAAGTACCATTACTGTTTTCTAGTGTAGCATTTTCTCAGAAAACTCCCTTAGAGTTTAGAATAAGCAAGTGCCTCTAATTTAGTATGTCCTTGTAGTACTGGATGCATTGCATGGGAACGTCCTACTTCCCATGACTTATAAAAATCATATATACGTGAATTTTCCATCTCTTTTGCCGTCCCTCTTTCTTACACGTAAAACCAAAATCACCTAACAACATATTTTATATAACCTGGCCTCCACTTCTCATGTCAACTAATAGGAATCACAATGAAGATAAAAATTAAACTTCACCCCATATTATTGGATCACACCAACACTACTGTTAATTTTTAATTGCTTTTCCTTTTTTCCCACCATATTAAAATATACTGTCCCACTTGAGGCTAAAACATTCCACAACAATGTCGAAAATTTTCTGATTAATTTAATTGTGATGCACATTTTAATATTGGTTAGACGGCTTCTGATCAGAAGTCTATATTCTGGATTAAGGCAATCTTGAGGTAGATGTAGTGGCAATGTTCTTTGTTGATTAAATACTTTAGAAAGTCTGCACTGTAAATAAATGAAAAGTCAACTTATACTTTAGAACCATTTCCAATCTAACTAATTGTAAACAGCTCTGAGTTGTTTCTCTTTAAAAATTTTGTGAATTACTTGTATACATCAATGATTGATTTGTTGTCTACTCCCACAACCAAAAAAAAAGAAAAAGAAAAAGAAAAAGAAAAGATACAAAATGTGTAGCAAAAGTCAATAGTCAAAGTTGTAGTGTTATATACGAGTCCAAAAATCAAAAGGATTAAACTGATAAATATATCAGAGCCAAACAATATTGGACCATATGGAAGGCATTGTTACTGTTGCACTCTTGTCCTGGTCCTCGTTAGATGAGGGCGGAATCCCTTTTGTCCACCGCTAAGTTGGATGTCAACGTAGGAATAATGTTGACTTTTTCTTTCTTTCATTCTGTTCTGTTGTTTTTTTTTATCAATTGTCATCCCTACTCCTGCTTCCTACTCTAACTACGAGAAGGTTCAACTGAGCCTACAGGAGACCGATGGGGATAGAACCACCACCGGATCAGACGAATACACTACGCACCCGTCTGGATTTGAAGCAGAGCCACAAGAGTGGCATTTTGGTAGGAGGCATTTTGGTG